GGCGATAGCAGCGGCTCGTATTTCGTAGTGGTATGCAGCGAAGGGGCACGGGTACCGCGCGCCATGTCAGCTTTCAGTTTGTGATCGACATGGGAACTCGACACGACAATGAACCGACAACGATGGCGTGGGCATTCAGACCCTATGTCCGGCGAGGGGCCGAAGCCAAGACGAGTGAGGGGGCAGGCAGGAAGATGGCCACGAGCAGAGCGAGGAGGTGTAGCAGGCGAGGGCATGATAGATAACATGGGACATGGAATCGGCGTTTGTCCATCCGAAAAGACACCGACGAGACTGGGCACTGGGGATGCGCGTTGGCGTCGTCCAGCCTCCATCAAGTGTCTTGAGGTGGACCCTGGCCCAAGACGGGGGAGCGTGTGTCCAAAACCTGGCGAAGCGCAGCCCATCTCTGGGTCAGATCTGGGTGCGGGGGCACAGAGGAGATGTGCAAACTGGGTTCCGTCATCTCCGTGTTCCCGTAGGGGTCCTCCGGCACATGGTCAACGATCCAACTCTGGAGACGGCGGCCTGGGAGCGAAGGGACATAATCAGGAAACAACGCGGAGGAGAGGGAACGGACGAGAATTAGCTGCGGCCGCGGGCGGCGCACTTCCTCGCCAGCGTGCCGAATCTCTTCACGCGCAGCGGCCGTCGCTGTCAGCCACGCGTTCCGAGGTATCCCGAAGCATGGGAAGCGGCGGGTGAAGGACTGGCGAAGAATTCACATTTGCTGGTCGGGTTCGCCCAGCACTCAGGGCTAAGGCGCCCCATCGCGACGCGTGGGAGACTCCCAAACATCTCAGCATGCGACGACAGAGTGTTAAGCGAGGCCCTCCACCCACCCGCCCCGAATTAACGAAACGTGTGAAATGCCGTGTGCCACGCTGAAGCAGCACACATGACTCGAAGCGAACGTGGGGTGGCCGAGGCAAGCCAACTACCCATGCTGAGGAGCTCAGCGGGGCTGAAAGCATTGAGGGAGGAGGCGAAGGAGGCGGTGGAGGGCGTGACGTTCCGAACGGAAGAGGGAGGCGGGAGGAGGGAAGAGCTGGCATAGGCAGCTCAACACAATGATGGTGCCACAATTACGTACACATTCGGCTGCTGGCTTCCGTGGGGGATCGTGACAAGGCGAATTCCCGAACTCGCTCACGCCACTTTCGTGGAGAACGGGGGATTGTGGAGACCCTCGGAATTCCAGGGCGCGCGCGCGAGGCTTTCACACTGAGTTCGCGCGTGCGTCTTTCAGTGGTGTGCGTACTCTGTGGCGTCCTCCTCTCCTTCCACCTCCCCATCGACAAAAGGACTCCGATCGAAACCCTCCACTGAATGATTCCTACTGAAATCCTTCACAGGTGGATTCCTATTGACATCACCCGCAGAAGGATTGATATTGATATGCTTCGAAAGAAAGAACCCCCCGTTGGCATTGCATTGGCATTGGTTTGGCAATGGTTTGGCATCGCGTTGACATTGCGTTGGCAGTGCGCTTGGTAGTGCGTTTCTAGTGTGCTTGACTTTCTCGAGCATTGCGCTGGCGAGTCCTAATGGAACCCTCCACAGAAGGACTCCGATCGAAAACTTCTACAAGAAGGACTCCTATTGAAACCCTCCACAAACAACGGTTCATATTGACACCCTCCACAGAAGGATTCCATGCGAAATCCTCCACAGAAGGATTCCTATTGAAATCTACCACAAAGGATTTCCCCCATTGGCAGTGCATTGGCATTGGGTTGGGATCGCTTTGGCATTGGTGTGGCATTGATTTGGCACTGCGTTGGCATTGCGCTGGCGAGTTCCAACACCTCCCTTCGCAGAATGATTCCTGTTGAACTGCTACAGGGAAGATTCCGATTGAAGCATCCCACAAGAAGGGTTTACATTGAACTCCCTCACGGAAGGATTCCATTCGAAACCCTCCATAGAAGGATTCTTCTTGAACCCGACCACAAACGAGTTCCCCCATTGCCATCGCAGTGGCATTGGATTGGGGTCGCGTTGGCATTGGTTTAGCATTGTCTTGGTGTTGCGTTGGCAGTGCGCTGGCGAGTTCTAATGGCTCCCCCCACAGAAGGATTCTTACGAAAACCTTGCACAAGAAGGGGTCCTTCTGAAGCGCCCCACATGAAGGATTCAAACTGAACCCCCCACAGAAAGATTCCAATCGAAACCCTCCACGGGAGGATTCCTATCGAAATCATCAGAAGAAGGATCCGTAACCAAATCATTCACATACGGATTATTAGTGAAATCTGTTGGAAGACAGGAATCCCGCCATCGGCATTGCATTGGCATTGGTTTGGCAACGGTTTGGCATCGCATTGGCATTGCCTTGGCATTGCGATGGCAGTGCGTTAGCAGTGCGTTGGCATTGCGTTGTCATTGCGCTGGCGAGTCCTGCTCAAACGCTTCACAGAAGGATTCCGATTGAACACCCCCACACAAAGGATGCCTATTGAATCCCCCCACAAGAAGGATTCACAGTGAAATCCTCAACCCAAGGGTTCCATGCGAAGCCCTCCATAGAAAGGCTTCCTGTTGAAATCCCCCGAAGAAGGGTTCTTAGCAGGATTGCAATGAACGTCTACCACAAACCATCCCCCCCATTGGCATTGCATTTGGCATTGCGTTGGCACTGCTTCGGCATTGCGCTGGCGAGTTCGAATGGCTCCCACCACAGAAGGAGTCCGTACCTTCCACAAAAAGGGATCCTTTTGAAAGCCAGCCACATAAGAGATTCATATTGAAGCCCCCCACGGAAGGATTCCAATCGAAACCTTCCACAAGTAGGAATCCTTTTTGGAATCTACCACAAAGGATACCCCCCATTGGCATTGCACTGGCATTGAATTGGGATCGCCTTGGCATTGGTTTGGCATTGCGATGGCAGTGCGTTAGCAGTGCGTTGGCATCGCGCTGGCGAGTCCTAATGGCTCCCTCCGCAAACGGACTCCTACTGAAACCCTCCAAAAGAACGATTCCGATTAGATCCTCCCACATAAAAGATTCCTAGTGATACCCTCCACATGAGGATCCCGATCGAAACCCTACACATAACATTGCTATTGAAATCCTCCGAAGAAGGTTTCGTAATGACATCATCCACAAAGGTGAAAAAGAGCGTTTCACTCGATAAAAGCCGTATGAAAACGACGAGTGGCTCCACAATCCCCTGGCCTCCCTTCGTGTGGGTGCCGCCCACAGGGCGTCGAGCTCCGCCGCCGGGCCGACTTTCATGCCAAGAAAGTCAATGGATCCAGCGATCTTGAAATCAGCCCACGCTGGGATGAGGGTCAGGACCTGCTGGCGACATTGCCGCACTACGGCGTCCGAGCACCGCTCGGCCCAAGGAACGATTGCGCACTTCGCTGGTTGCAGAGACAGGTCGCACCCACATCTTTCACCGTCGCACCACACTCCGGCTCAAGCTTTGGAGTCCCCCGGCATGGCCCGGGGCACAACATACGAGCCTGCTGAGACTCCAGCTGGTCCGCAAGGTGCCTCAAGAACGGGTCCATGATCAGAGCCCACAAGGACGCATCCCTGGACAACACCGGAGGTCACACAGAAGAGCGGGAGAATCGCGGAGCCGCAGCGGGAATGGGCGAGAGCCCCTGAGTAAAGAGCGGCTATCAGATTCGTGTAGCCCGTCGGCATGCGGTGCTTAGCAAGGGCCGAGAAGAGGAAGACTTGGGAGAGCGAGGGAAGGCAGCACGAATGTCAAACGAAACAAACATTGGCAAGAGGGAGGGATGGTGACCAGCAGTTCGGGCGACCGCATCCTGGCGCACGATGTGCGAAAGAAAGGTGCGGCCTCCGATGAAGCCTTGTTGCGCGCCGTGGGCCCGCTCGGCCACAAGTGGCGTCAGCTGGGCGTTCACCGTCGCCGCCATCGCCTTCACGTCCGAATTCTTCAGGCAGAAGGGTCGCAGCTTGGACGCGCGGCGGGTGACGTCCAAGATGTCCGCCGGGTCGGTGCCCTTGGGAACGAAGACCATGTCCTCAAAGTTCAGCCCCCACGGGGCCGGCCGGCCCGCGAAGAGCTCCAGCATGAGGTCATGCAGGGCGTCGGTCAGGCGATCGTCCACGAGCCAGGCCGCGGCCCGAAGGCGGTCGGGGCCCGGCGCCGTCGGGCGGGCGCGTCGCAGCGCAGCCCGCAGCGCACCCGGCGAGGGGACCTCCAGCCGTGGCGATGCAGTCCCAGGCGGCCGCCTCATCGATGGGCTGGTCGCTGAAGATCGGGCCCCAGTGTTGTCGCATCACGTCCACAATCACCATCGGGTCCCTCTCCGCGGACGTCGAGTGGACCTCCGCGTCCATGCGCACCCCCGCCAAGACGAGAGGAGGAGGAGGAAGAGGAGGGGGGGCTGCGGGGAGGAAGCGAGGGCGGCGGAGGGCGAAGGATGATGCGGAGGAGTCGGGAGAAGAGCGGGGCTGCATTGAGGAAGCGAGGGCGGCAGGCGGGAGGGGACCCGCAGGGAGGATGGGGCTGCGTTGAGGGGGCCTGCAGGGGGGAGTGGACTGCGGGGTGGGGGGGGAGGGAAGGTAATGACTGCAGCACTAGACTCACTTTATCTGCTGCATTTTTCAAGCCAGATCGTGAATGTTATGGCCCCAAGGCCCTAAACCGGGCGAAGAAGCCCGATGTGCAAAACATGCACGACCGCTTTTCGTGCCCTCCGCTGGAGGTCTGGGCTTCCTCCGCGGCGGCGACCCCTTGCCGTGGGCATAATTTCCCCCGCTGGGTCAATGTTTGATGGCCCTGGGGCCCGATGACGGGCCCCAGAGGTCGAGATCGAGAAGGAAACGCTGGAATTGACAAGACAATACAAACTATTCGATGCCTTAATGTTTTCAATGCGCGGTCACCGCAAGTCTCGACCCACTCTTGGGGACTGGCTTCTCATCCAGTTGACGGTCCCAGGCTGGTCGAGGGCCTCTGGAGGACGAAAGCTATGAAACAACTCTGCGTTGGATCTCTGGAGAGCGGCTTGTTATTATTCACGATCGCGGCCCTTACCGACCACGGCCACCTCCTTCCAGGCATCGCCAATAATCGAGATGACCTCCGAGTTGTTTGTTGCTATTCCTAGATATTCCTAGGACGGCGGCGGCGCCAGACAAGACGCTACCGCCCCCCCCATCTCATACACCCCCCTGGCAACGCCCGTTAGTCAGACGAAGCCAGGCCGAGGGAAAAATCGGGTGAAGATAAAAAACGTACCGTGATTTCTTCGCAACGCGAAGGGCTGGGTCTGGGATTCCTCCGCGGCGGCCGGGGCGGTCCTCCGAGGCCGTCGACCGGGCCGCCGCCCGCGGCCAGCCCCGAGGGCCCGGCGCGGCGGCTGGCGCGGCCGCGGCGGCCCTGGAGGCGGCCAGCGCTCGCTCGAGCTCGATCTCCTGGGCGGCGCGCCCGGCGCGGCGGGCAGAGGGCAGAGGGCCCAGACCCCTTTGATCGCGTTGTGGACAAGAGCACATGCGAATGGAGTCGGCCTCCGGGAGCCCTCACCGGACCTCGGGACCATGCGGCTCCACACCTCTGAGAGAGCGTGATCCACCGCCGCTTTACTGTGGAAAATTCCCCCCCCTCTTCCTCCAGAACCTGGGGGTCCCCCCCCTCCGAAAATGCCCCCCCCCCCCCCCTGCTTGAACCCCCCACCCCGCCTCCCCTCCCCCGGCAAAACCCCCCCCCCTCCCCTAACCCCTCCCCACCCCCCTCCCCCTCGAAAACGGGGGGGGGTCACTGCCGGTTCGAACCCCCCCCCCCCCCTCGAAAACCGGAGGGGGGGGTCACTACTGGTTCGAACCCCCCTCACCGCCAGCAAACGACTCCCGGTCCCTACCACCGTCCTCACCACATCCCCCACTGTTGTTCCCAGCACCACTGTCCTCACCACCACTGTCCCCACTGGTTCCACCACCGCCCCTACTGTCCCCACCAGTGCCACCACCACTGTCGCACTGTCCCCACTGTCCCCACCACTGTTCCCACCACGGTTCCACTCTCCCCACTTTCTCCACGGCCCCAACCACTGCCCGACTGTCCCCACTGTCCCACTGACTCCTCCGCTGTCCCACTGAGCTGTCCCACTGTTCCCACCACTGTCCCCACTGTCCCCACCACTGTCCCCACTGTACCTCTGTCCCATTGTCCCACCGCCGTCCTCGCCACCGCCTTCACCATTGTCCCCACCACCACTGTACCCTCCACTGTCCTACTGTTTCCACCACATTCCCACTGTCCCCACACCACTGTCCCCACCACCACCGTCCCCACCACTGTCCCACTGTCCCCACTGTTCCCACCATTGTCCTCACCGCTGTCCCCACCACTACCGTCCCCACCACTGTCCCACTGTCCCCACCACTGTCCCGCTGTCCCCTCGCCACTGTCCCCACCCACCACCGTCCCCACCACTGTCCGCATCCCCCCCGGTTTTCGAGGGGGGGGGGGTTCGAACCGGTAGTGACCCCCCCCCTCTTTTCATGATGGACTGGGGGGGGGGGGGGAGAGGGGTTCGAACCGGTAGTGACCCCCCCTGGTTTTCCGAAGGGGGGGGGGGAGGGGTTCGAACCGGTAGTGACCCCCCCCGGTTTTCCGCCAGCAGCGGTAGAACACGCTCTTTCACACCTCTGGGGGTCGATGTTGTCAACAAAAATCACGACGTCGGGGGTCTGGCGAGGGCTCGGAGCCATGACCGCCCTGGAGGGCTAAAGACAGCACCAGGACCTCGACTAGACGGGGCTATAAGCCTGGAGGGCTATGTTGTAGCACTCTCTGGAAGGTCAGGGGGAGGGGGGCGGCGGCGGAGGGGACAGGAGGCTCGCGAGGCCTCCGAGGGCCCGACACTTCCAGCACTTTCAATATATGCGGAAGATGGCCGGCACCCCATCTACACACAGGATTGCTGGGAGTTTGCTTTTTATATCTTGTTGACAGCCCGATTATTTTCGATCCTTCAAGGTGTTGCACCCGCTGCCGCGCTGGCTTCATTTTGGGGCTTCCGCTCATTCCGAATCGTACTCCCGCTGCAGCGCTGATCTCATTTCCGTGTTTCCGTTCGTTCCGGATCGTGTTCCCGCTGCAGCGCTACCCACATTTCCGCGCGTCCGCTAGTTCCGAATCGTGCTCCCGCTTCAGCGCTGGCCTCATTTCCGATGCCATGCTATGGCATGCAATGCCATGCTATGGTATGGTATGTTCCGCTGTGCGATGCCATCACTTCAGCTGCAATGCTCTGATATGCAAGGCTTGACTACGCGGTGCCACGCCACGCTACGCCATGCTACGCGTTGATCTCCAACGCCATGTTATGTCATGTAATGCTATGCCATGCTGCGACATGGAGCTGCGCGAGTAGAAAGGATATATACGCTATGGTAAGGAATGGGGGGGAGGGGTAGGACGTCAGATAAGACGCTTGCGCACCCAGCTTGCCTCTACAGTTACACAATGTGATTACTACTCTCTTCGTTCCCCTGATGACGTCTGGAAGCTGTTCGCCCCCCCCTCCGCGTACAATTTCTTTACACACAGGATTTCCGTGAAGTGGGTTTTCGCATTGATTTGTGTCAAACCATCCTGTGGTGTTATTGCACCGACCTTGCAGACGTGCTGCAACGGATTCTTGCGTGGATATCTGTCAATGCAGAACCCCGAAATGGCGAATGAAAAAGGACGTGAATTTCGCGTGGATGTTGTTCTCGTCTTCATTCAAGTAACAAAAACAACAAGGAATTCACCTCGAAATCCGGAACGAAATTCTCCAGGACACTTTGGGCCCATCCTATCGTTTTCCGAACGAATTCCGATCTGCGAGGTTGGCGCCATGAATGGCGGTGGGTCCACGTTGTGACATCCTCTCCTCTTCACCTCCTCCTCCTCCTCTTCCTCCTCCTCCCGCCTCCCATCATCAGCATCATTGCCGTCATCACCACCCATGTTGGCACACCTTTTCACACGGTTCGTGACAGCTCCACATCAAGCTCCAGTGGCGACGCTCCCATGCGTCCCCGCCACCCACTGTGGTACACCCCACACACGTTTCGTGGCCCCACACGGAGCTCCACCTAAGGCTCCAGTGGCGCCGTTCCCATGCGTCCCCACCACCGATTTCGGCACACCCCTCACACGGCTCGTGGCCCCATATTTAGCTTCACCTAAGGCTCCAGTGGCGACATTCCCATGCGTCCCCACCACCGATTTCGGCACACCCCTCACACGGTTCGTGGCCACATGGGTAGTTTCACCTAAAGCCCCAATAGCGAAGTTCCCATGCGTCCCCGCCACCCATTTTGGCACATCCCTCACACGGTTCGTGGCCCAACAGGGAACTCCACCGAAAGCCCCGGTGGCGACGTTCCCATGCGTCCCCGCCACATATTTCGGCACACCCTTCACACGGTTCGTGGCCCCAGATGGGACTCCAATCTGGGGCCCAGTGGCGACGTTCCCACGCGCCCCCGCCACCCATTCGGGCACACCCATGACACGGGCACACCCCTCACACGGTTCGTGGCCCCATAAGGTAGCTCCACCTAAAGCTCCAACGGAAACGTTCCCGTGCGTCCCCGCCACCCATGTTGGCACACACGGTGCGTGACCCCATAGGAAACTCCACCGAAGGCCCCAATGGCGACGATCCCACGCGTCCCCGCCACCCATTTTGGCACACCCATGGCACGGTTCGTGCTTCCATAGGGAGCTCCACCGAAGGCCCGTCCCCGCCACCCATTACGGCACACCCTCACACGGTTAGTGGCCCCATAGGTAGCTCCACCGAAGGCCCCCGCTGCAGCGCGGACGTTTTCGCTCCTTCCAATAAGGCCCCAAAGTTTACAACATGTCCCCCCGAAGAAACCATCGGAAATGACTACACATTCGGTGTCGATTCGTTGATTCTTTGGGCAGCAGAAGCCCCCATCCAGAAAATATCAAACGGGAGCCCCATTTTTGATTTGAGATGGCGATGTTGAAAGCAGAGCCAGCGGGTGCCCTCCATCAGCCCGCCTTGCGTGGCTCGGGAAGCCCAAGGAGCTAGACATGGAGCCACGACTCCAGACCAGCCCAGACCTCTCGAAAACGATCCACTTACCCTCCAAGGAGCCCGGCGCCATGTCATGACATGCTGTGCGGTGTTGTGTTCTGCGCCGCTGTGCGATGCCATGCTTTGCGGTGCAATGCTTCACTGCGCAATGCTAAGCCATGCTATGGCATGCTACGCTCTGCCGTGCCCTTCTACGCCATGCCTTGCCGTGCTCTACCATGCATCGCGTACCCTCTCGCGACCATTGCCCTGCTCGACATCCGACTGTGCGAATATAGAGGATATTTACGCCATGGTAAGGGACGGGAGGGAAGGGTAGGATTTCAGATATGACGCGAGCGCACCTAGCTTGCCCCTCTCCCCTCCCCCATCCCCCCCTCCCCTGTCCCCTCCTCCCTCTACCCCCCCTCCCGTGTCCCCTCCTCCCTCCCCCCCTCCCGTGTCCTCATCTCCCTCCTCCCCCCTCGGAGGTCTGGGTACCTTCCTCCGCAATTAAACCATCTGAAAACTACCCTCCTCTCTCCCCTGGTGGCGTCCAGGAAATGGCCGGCCCCCCTCCGCGTTCCGGTTTTTATACACAACATTTCCGGGAAACGGAACGGGTTTTCGCTTAGGTTTCTTTTGCGAAATGCTGCTCTCGCTGAAGCGTTGGTCTCATTTTCAGGCTACCGCTCGTTCCGAATCGTGCTCCCGCTGCAGCGCTGGTCTCATTTCCGCGCTTCTGCTCGTTCCGAATCGTGCTCCCGCTGCAGCGCTGGCGTCATTATTTCCAGCGCCATGGCACGGCATGGTTTTCGATCCTCCCAAATAGGCCCCATAATCTAGAGAATGCCCCCCCGATTCGTGCTTTTTCGCACCGCAGACGGCCCCCCCCCCACTTTGGGGCGTCGCCACGCCATGCCATGTCAGGCGACGCGTCCTCATATCCGTGCTTCCGCGCTTGGTATTTTTTCAAAATGCTGCTTTCGCTGCAGCGCTGGCCTTATTTTCGGGCTACCGCTCGTTCCGAATCGTGCTCCCGCTGCAGCGCTGGTCTCATTTCCGCGCTTCCGTTCGTTCCGAATCGTGCTCCCGCTGCAGCGCTGGTGTCATTATTTCCAGCGCCATGCCAAGGCATTGTTTTTTGGTCCTTCCAAATAGGCCCCCAAATCTAGAAAATGCCTCCCCGAATAATTATCCTGGTGAAGCAACCTAGCAGCGATGTGTATAAGCATATCTGGAAACATTCCCCTTAAGATTCAGGTGGGAATCCAGTTGTAGAATTCTGCTGTTCTCGCAGTCGCAGTCGCATTCGCAATGGCAGTCGCGGTGGCAACGGCCTTAGGATCCAATGGAATCCTAAGGAATCCTCAG